GCTTTTCCATACCTTTTGTCCCGTCCAGCAGAGTTCCTGCAGTGCTACGACTTCGAAGTTGCGTGGTTGAAGTTCTTTTGCCGTCCATTTCTCGTGAATAAAAACATACTCATGAAGATTAATGACACCAGCAGGTAGAGGAATGTTTCCTTTACCAGCTAGCATTGTTCATTTGGAGGGACGGACTTTTATTTGCGAGAAATCGATAGCTAAACCCATTGTTTACAAAAGCAATTACGCCCCTTTGAAATGTTGGCAGAAAATCGCTCATTGTGACTCTGTTAAAGCTAAATTTGCATGTTTTGTGTGTCAAACATAAACTTTACAATCTTTTCTTGTTACTTACACATACAAAATATTATCATAATATCTTATTATTCCTTAATTTCATAAAACATGTTTTTCGCCAAAATGAATGGACAAAAAAAACGCTCCTAGCGAACTCGCTTGTTCTACCTTCATCCGTAGGACGAAGAAAATCCAATGGCGTTTCAATGCGTTTGGACGGAATTGAAACTCGTAGGACGAATTTGGAATCTTTTAGATTTTTAACAATATCTCAACAATGTGTGGCTCTTTATCAAATTCAACGGTACGTATGGAAAGGGGAATAAATTTAGAAGTCATCTTTGATAGAAACATTTAGTGTATTGTTAAAACCCGTTCAAGAAAGAGAGGTAAAGCGTGGGTTGTGCTTAGTAGGACGGAAATTAGATCAAAAATCCTATTTCTGTTTCTGTGTGTTCATTCCTATTCTGTCTCCTACTGTGTGCGGTTTTTCTCTCTCCCTATCATACTCTCATTCTCGATTTTGATTCTCATGTGCTTGGTGTTATGTGTTGTTGGGTGTCGTCTCAAATCGGTAGCTCTACAAAGGCATGTGGTCCTGGTGACAAGGATTTGCAGCGTCGAATTACGCGCGCATGCCTCTGGCGGAATCGACGAGTCACGAGTTTCGGCGACTCCAATTACATCAGCCTTAGGACTGGCAAATAACTACTCCGTTTCGCCCTCACTGGACGCCACCGACGCCACACTCCACAAAGAAATAAAAGCTTGGTTGACTCAGCAGTGGTTCATAACAGTGGCTTGTGGCCATGCCAGAGGAAGGTCATGCACTCGAACGGTCACTGCTTCACAATCCACATATACCGGGATTTTGAACTCACTCTTCGCACAGAGAATCGCGTGTTTATAGTTGTGCGCCTTTTCATAGCGCAAGGGAACTTCATTGTCTATCATCTCAATGAAAACACAATTTCGGGCGTTATGAAACTGAATGCATCTAACGTCCGAATATTGAAGCTTAATATTGTTCTCGAAGAATTTTTGCACTTTTCCAGCATTGGGACGAACTGGAAGGACACTGAAGTCAACAACAAGTGTGTTTTTACAAACTACACTCATTTTCGCTACAATATTTCACCAAGTTAAGCCGACCTGACGAATGACCCCCGATGACTTGAAGCATCGATACAGCCCAAGTAACAATTTTGGTTTTATGAGGGTTCTGTAGACCATGATTTAGACTTGTAGAATGTTATAAAACCGCGGTAAAACTTGCAATGTTGCTTGGGAGTTGTGCTTTGAGTGCGGCTGATAGTCCACACTACGTCGCAGCAGGAGAAGAACGTCATTAGCATTCCAAGCTCCAAGCTTCTTACAGGTCTGCATGGAGAGTACTTAACGCAAACGCTGGAACGTACGAAGAGTATCGTGGGCCTTTCTTGCGACCTCATTGATTTGATCGATCCATTTCAGATTCAAGTCCATAATGAGTCCAAGGTTGGTGAGTCTGTTGGAATCTCTTAGTGTTAGACAAAGTATTAGTCTCGCCACAGAAACGAATGCTATTCTGCCATGAGAATGTTGATTTCGTCTTCGAGGCCAGATAGGGTAAATGTTGGCTTCGGCACCCATTGACTGTTTTCGGCAACCAAAATTTAAACGTTAATTTCACTATGTTTTCCCATCAACGCACTTCCCTGAATGTGTCCAAACGATTGTTTAGCCTTTCAGCTTCAATCTGATTATATTTGAACGATCGAGCAATCCAGTAATGCTACATTTTTCTTCAAATAAAGCATACGCACTACAAAATGGGGTTGATTTCGAGTTGCCGATAATAGAACAGCTGGTTAACACGCAGTTGTAATGGGAAGGTTGCCGAAGAAAAAGAGGCTGCGGACAATAGTCACACTCACCTGAGAAGTTTGGAGCGTTGTAAAAACGCTTTCAAAACGTTTTGAAAAATTCTGTCGATTGGAATGGATAGAGAAGCAAGCAGCAGATGAATGTAAACAAACAGACACATCATATATGTGCGTGACGCTGAGAAAATGCTAGTAGAAGTGCAGACGCTGCTTAGATTGACGAGAATACGTAAATTCCCCTATATAGATTTGTAGGTGGAAGTGATATTCGCATTGTAGAGCCCCGGGCAGGCTGTTGATATACAGGCTAAACAGTAGTGCACTTAGGCAACTTGGGGTGTACCGTCGGTCAGATTCCGGGGACTCGAGGGAGTACCACCAAGATCAACAACTTGACTACGATGTTCCAGGAAATGTGGTATCAGCTTTATTTGTTGCAGGATCGATTTATTGGAGGATACAAATTACAGTTAGACAGCTCTGGCCAAGAAATTCGGCGTTAATAGGACCACCTGGAAGAGGAAGTATTCATTTTCAGGTAAGCACAACTATCTGGAGCAAGCGTTGGTTGATTGGTTCCAACGAGCCCGCGATCGTCATTTGCAGCTCAGCTAGACGTTGCAAACAATTTCAGGTTCAGTTCAGAGTGGGTTCATAATTGTTAGAAAATCTGGAATTTGTACCATAGCTTCTGTCCATCAGAAACGTACCCCGAGCCTTGATCCATAGTGAATTTTGAAATCTTATCAAATGCTACTAGTCACCATCGCTTCATATTCACGAAACCGCTCGAAACCTGCTAGGTACTAAAATATCTGAAAAATTGGTATGTGGATAGCCTCAAAGTTCATACATTTCAAACCACACATCGAACACATTTAACACTATTGTTCAAAATTTTAAAATAAAAATTTCTGGAGCACAAACCACAGGTTTTGAACATTCAAGCAGTAGAAATTATTTTTTGTATTTTTTTTTTCCTTCTCAATGCAGTACATATTTGGTATTAGCTTTTCCCTGTAACCACAATTCGCATTGTCCTAATATGTAAAAGATTGCTTATGAAATGTAAAACGTGATCGAAATGACAGCAAATGTTGAAATCAAAACGGAGATGAACTAAAGTAAAAACAACACGCACACTCGAAAGAATAAAGAAAGTGTCTATGAAAAAAATAAAATTGGTGATAGCGATTGTAACGCAGCAGATATTTCAACAGAAACGAAAGGGATCCCACTGGACGAAACTACCCGATGTGTGAAAGTTACCGTTAACAATTAAAGAAGCTAAACTGTTCCAAAAGCGTGAAACTGAAAGTCGTTTTGCACTGCTACTGCTACTGAATCCTCCCGTAAATTCCGCACTGTGGTATTGTATGATTAGGTGTGTAATTATTGCCATCCCTGCTGCACTTTATCCCTAGTTCGCGATTGCGGTCGCCGAGAATCGAAGCCAACAAAATACTAGACCGAAACGATCGATATTTGATCGAGTTTATGAAACTGAATGGAAAAAAGACAAGGCCTTGTCCCTTTTCAAACTTAAAATTTGACAAAAGGATCTTTGCCAAAGTTGGAATACACTCATTTAGTAGGCTATAGGAAGAAAAATAAAACATAAAATATTAAAACTTAAAAAAAAAAAACAAGTTGTAAATTCGTGTCTTGAAGCAAACCAAAATATCGGTTAAAACTATTCAAAATAAATAAATGAGAAGAAACGCCAAAAGAAACAAATGAAGCTCGTTGTTTTAAACCCTTTTTCTCCATTTTTGTGAGCAATCGGCTAGTTGTTCTTTAATAGGAAAAACAAAACAAATGAAATCGCCCAACAGCATCTATTTACCATATGAACGTTGTCCTCCCCAAAGCAAAAAAACCATTGGTAATTTAAAAGAAAACCTTCCTTTTTCCTTCCCATCGTGCACAATGCAGACTAATAAAGAAAAAAAAAGTTTAAAAAATAAGCAAAAAACTGAATGTTGTTACACTCTGTATCCTAGAAATTAACAAAGAAAAATTGTAACAAAACACAAACGAATTGATGTAACACTATTTGCATTTCCTGTTTTCAATTTCCCTCGAATAGCGCGTCTAAACAGAGAAGAAAAAAGATATTGAAACCAATAGTTTATTTTAACACACACACAAAAATGTGCAACTCGAAACTCAATTATAGAACTGCAAGGTGAGTAAACAAAATAAAATAAAAACTAGATAGAAGCGAGAGCGTTTAAAAGAAGAGATTAACACAAATTCCAAATGCATTTCTACGCAATAGGGAAAAAGAGTTCTTGTTTTTTGACCAAACCCACAAACAAACACATACAACACATACCAAACCCGCCCCTGCCATGACCGTGAATGGAGTGTAGAGACCGAGGCAAAAAAAAAACAATGTTGATGGATCAATGTATGAGTGTGAAGCTTCACGCTCCTAAATGAAATAAGAGGGCTTTAACCAGGAACGAACCGAACGAATGTATTGGGAAATACACGATTAACAAACAATAGGCGTAAAAAGGCATTAAAAGATGTTGTAAGCGAAGAGCAACACATACACACACCCCCCGAACAAGGAGAGAGATAAATGAACGGAAAGCAGAAAACAAGAATCTTCTTCACTTGCTAGCTTTTTGTAAGAAGTTTTTAACAAAATGAAAGGAAAAAGCAAAAAAAAAATGAACAAAATTAGTATTGAATGTGTCAAAGCAAAACAAAAAAACAACTGGTGGAAATTGTTTAAATATATGAGTAAAAATTACGCAACGAGGTGTTTGTTAACGAAATAGACGAAAGAAAATTTCAAGGAACATTCGGATCAATCTCGACAAGCCTCTTTTCGGGTGGATGATCCACATCTATTATTCAAACCTTCCTAAAAATCGCAACAAACTTGTCCCCTTTGTTTCGGGTCACCTTCTTGCCCTCCTCACTGCTGTCGAGCAATTTCTCCGACAGCACATCCAGCTTCACCTCCTCCGCATTTAACCTCTCGAATGCCGGATGCTGTTCGATGTGTTTGCACATCCACTCGTGCAGATCCTTCACATCCGTCACCGTGTAGATCATACCCCCCTTCCGTAACACGTAGCCATACTCACTCAACAGGGCCGAATTGATGATCCGCCACTTGTGCTTGGCCTTTTTGAAATGTGGATCCGGATACAGGAAGAACATCTTCTCCAGCTGACCCTTGTGGAAGTAATTGGCCAGATACTTCATCGCGTTCGTTCGGATGCAGGCAATGTTCTGGTATTTACTTTCGTTCAGCTTTCGCAATGCGTGGATGCGATCCATCACGTAGTCGGACACTTTAACCCGAATTTCCATTCCGACGGTAAACTTTTCCGGGTACATCTCCCCCAGCGTCACCAGAAATCCACCGTAACCGCATCCGATATCGGCGAATTCCACCCGCCGATCACCGATCGACGGGTAGTGCTGGGACCAGTCATAATCATCGGGATAGACAGGACTGCACAATAATACTATAATGAATGATTTAGATCTGGCTAATTAATTCACCATACTCACTAATCGAAACTGTGATCAGCGATGGGATTCGAATGAGCTCGCTGTCGATAGAAACGCTTTTGAGGTAGCTTCGTTGGAGTTGACGCCGGTGGCTCCGCGGACACGCTGTCCTTAGCTTCGTCGACCTCCATAATTCATTAACGTACGTAACGTTACCAGACTACGAACGTAGAATGTTATTAATTCAAGCTAATTCACTCAAATAAATTGAAAAACGAATTGATAAGCACGCACACGTTGATCTTTAATAACTTTTTGATGACAGCTTCTTGTTTACGAGTTTTCACGTGCTAGATCGAGGGGCGCACAGATTTCTAGCAAACAAACACAAGATTCTTCACGGTAAGAAACAAGTACCCAAAATTAAGTTCTTTTAACTCATCTCGGCACTATAGTGCAGGAACAGTTGGTAAAGCGGGTCAAAATAGTTTCCATTTACTTGTGTGCAACTCGTATGGAATTTTCCACTCGCTTTCTACCCAAAAGTAAGTTAGTTGTACCCAAAAGTAGGTAAATATGATTATAGTCAACGTTGGGTTCTCGCACTTTACTACCCCTGTTGGGTGCGGTTTTGCTCCTCCGTTTTTTACAACATTAGAAGAAGAAAAGAAGACAAACTAGTCAAAAGTAGGTAAAAGTGAACTGGTCGTTGGGTACCTTTTTCTTTTATCGATTGGTAACCACACTGGAACAAATTCTCGCAATATTCCAACTTCGATCAAACAGGCGTTAGCACCGACAAACCGACATGAAACTAAAACATAACTCTTGATCGAAAATCCATAACATAACATTTAGTATGTGTGTTCCGTGTTCGTGGCTAGGATACACATTTTTCGCGAACACGGCGGCAGATGTCAGTTTTGTGCTTTGATCAGAAATTTGATGATACTTTGTATGATCATTCATGTCGGTTTGTGGGTGGTTATAGCAACAATCAATATGAAACTAACGATTTTAAATTGGCTCATCACTTGACTAGCCTATTGGTCCCAAGCAAATCGATTAACGTGCCCTAGTCTAGTCAACATTCTAGTACTACACAATTTTTGTTTTGATTCCCTATGAAAGTTTGACAGATAAAATGAGGGGTTAGTGGATTTTCCTATGTTTCGAGGGTTGAATCGATTAGCTTGGGACCGAAGATAGTACCAGAGCTGAGCCAAAAAGCTGAGCACGTTTCTTCGGGACCTACTAGTCTTAGAGTGTTACCAACAATCAATACGAAACTAACGATTTTAAATTGGCTCACCACTTTAGTAGCCTATTGGTCCCAAGTAAACGATTAACGTACCCTATTCTAGTTGAAATTCTATTACTACACTATGTTTGTTTTGATTCGCTATGAAAGTTTGACAGATAACATCAGGGGTGTGTGGATTCATGCAGAACATGCAGGGGTGAGTGAAATAGCTTGGGACTGCTTGGGACCGTTGTTCTGGTACTGAGTGAGCCAAAAATAATAATGATTTTCTTCGGGACCCAGTGGTCTTAGAGTTACCTCTATGGTGTTACCTCTATGGTTATAGCAACAATCAATACGAAACTAACGATTTTAAATTGGCTCACCACTTTAGTAGCCTATTGGTCCCAAGCAAACGATTAACGTACCCTATTCTAGTTGAAATTCTATTACTACACTATGTTTGTTTTGATTCGCTATGAAAGTTTGACAGATAACATCAGGGGTGTGTGGATTCATGCAGAACATGCAGGGGTGAGTGAAATAGCTTGGGACTGCTTGGAACCGTTGTTCTGGTACTGAGTGAGCCAAAAATAATAATGATTTTCTTCGGGACCCAGTGGTCTTAGAGTTACCTCTATGGTACCAGAGCTGAGCCAAAAAGTTGAGCACGTTATTTCGGGACCTTCTGTTCAATCAAAAGTAAGAATGTTCATTCTATAAACATATGAATAATTCAAAATATTTTAAAAACATGTTTGCAACAAAAATATATATGTTTGATTTTATAGTCCAAAGCATGTTTATTTCAACAATATAGAATTTGGTTAAACGATTTTTAGCGTGCCCTGCATTTTTTCCTTCTTGTTTACATTCGGAAAAAATTGCCCCAGCTTTACTTATATTTTTCGTAGTTAAAGAACCCATTCATAAACAAAAACCAACACTTTGAATTCAAACTTTGCATAATTGAACCATTGACCCAGCCATGGTTATTGCTTATACGCAGGTATCATTAATTTAGCCAAGATATTAGTCGTGAATGCTCACAAAGGGAATCCGGCGAACGTTAATCCTTTTCCGGGCGAATCAATCCGGTAATTTGAAATTCTATTCCGTGGAACAAATAATATTTATTGATTTATTGCTTTTGAAATTGTACGATGAGAAACACGCTTGCACCAGGTGCAAGATGTTAGAGAAGGCCCTAGCAGGTTTAGCTGACGGACGCCGAGAGGAGTGCCTTCAATCCGAGGGGGGCGACACATCTAAATCTCAATTCTAGATGCTCAAAAAATCTCACACTAGCGAATCAATCTTCAAAAAATCATCTTTCATTTCTCGCATCTACTTGCATCGTGCTTCATCTTTTTGCAGGAAATCTTCAAAATCGACATAAATCTTCCTTCTATCTACTCAGCGTGCGTGCAGTTAGCCACAGCAAAACACAATCTTTTCTGCATCGTAGATAGAGTCGCCCCCTCGCTTCAATCAGTACTACAAGGATCTCAAGTGAAAAATGTCGATCCATACCAGCCTGCTGCCTAAAAAACTGCCTATCCAATCCGATGAATATGCAGTGCGGATCCAGACAATGATATCAAATTTTGAATAAAAAATTGAGAAATAAATGAATTTTTAATTTTTAATTAAAATGATGCTACTATATTGAATATACTACTTTTGAATTAAAAATATTTAATTTTGGATTAAAAATAACAATTATTGTCATTTAAAGTATGCCGTACTGATCGCGCACGGGCTGCCTGACCGTCCTGCCATGGCGGAGGTATTCGAGTTACTGATATATTGTTTATTTGTATTCGTTTGTATAGTAGCTACAGTGGGTAGGGTAGTTGTACATGTAGATGACGTTGCACAAACATACTCCTCCCCAAAACGAACTGTTTTCTATTGACTAGTGGCCTACATACAAACAATGATAACACACAAACTCTGATGACATTACGGTAACAATGAAACAAAGCACGATCAGTGCAGAAAAATCCGGCATTCGAACTCGCCCTTGAACAATGAATATGCTTCCTGACCAGAACTGTCGGTGGTTCATGGTGAGCCAGGAACGTGCATACTCTGCCAGATGGCTACCTGCGTGCCACACCATCGTAGCGGGAAGTGAAGCGGTATTCTTACAGTGGATGGCGCCATTCACTGCTGTATCTCCATCGTCGTCCTCGTTGTTGTCATGGTTGTGTGATGGTTTGCACGTCGGTCGTCAGTGATTTGAAATTTGGTTTGTTGCACTGCTGTAGTTTGCCCGTCGATCTAGTGGATGGTCACGGCACCATATGATCGCGCACGGGCGGGATCCTACGTTGTGTTTATGATCGTTGTGATAGGTACGAAGATGAAATTATTAAAACACACAGTTTGCTGGAGCGTCCTGCCATGGCGGAGGTATTCGAGATACTGATATATTGTTTATTTGTTTTCGTTTGTATAGTAGCTACAGTGGGTAGGGTACACGCAGAAAAAACACTGAGGCGTAAACCAATAAAATATTTTGTTATTATTTAATACGAAATATTTCTATTTGTTTCAGTTCATAATGAAGTTTCAAATCAATAAAGAAGCCCATTTAAATCAAACCAACACAATTTTTTTTAAATCTTTTTTTATGATTGTGTGTGTAATGCACGTTTCAAACTGTCAGTCTGTATCGACATCATAACATTGTTAATAAAAAAGCAAAAAAGTAAAATGATCATTTTCCTTGGCATTTTCTAATATTCTATCATTTCAGGAACTCCTCCTCCACCAACAATAACATTAGAATCTACACCATGGTGTACAGAAAGGCGCACAAGGGAAACATGTTCTTGCAACCATTCACGCACCAAATAAATTAATAAAAAACAGTGGCTTAGTTAGTAACTTAATTGAAACCATAATTGAAAAATGTGGGTTTATTTTTCATAATGACAGCTAATCTGACCTGGGAATTTAAATAAATTTGGTTTTGAAACAATAAAAATAACATTTCAATGCAACAAAAACGACAATTACTTTAAATAATGCTTCAATTTGATTCAAGCAAACATTTTTTTAAATCAATAAAAGCCGATGTCCAATTTAATAAAATTAATAGTATTATCCCAACTCAATTTTGTTGTTGAATTAATCTATCAGTTTTATTGATCCATATTCTATTCAAAATTTTGTTTAACATGAAACATAATTTGTTTGATTGCACTATGTTTTTTTCTGCGTGATGTAGATGACGTTGCACAAACACGTACTTTCATGTCAAAAGTTTGTAATGAATTAAGAATAATACGCTTTTAATTTCAACCATGTCACGCTTTTAATTTGACATTAGAACAATTTATTTTGAAAGTTTAAACTTTTAAAAGTCATGAGCGGGCAACTTTTAAACTGACAGTTGACAAACTTTCGATTTAAAAGCTAACCGCTTTCTACCAAAAAGAACCAAGGCAAACTTTTAATTTCACCGATGCTTTGATTTCTATATGGGGGTTCTCTTTGTGAAAACTGAGAATGGAACATGCAACAAAATTATGAAAGATTTTGAACGTTAATAACTCAGCTGCCCCTGGACCAATTTCAATAATCTTATCACCAATCGATCGGAAATATTTCTACGCATCTGCTAAATCTTTAAAAGACTTTACATATTTCAAAATGTCACTATTGAAAATTGCACGAATGTGCAACTGTTGCTATGATAGTTAAAATTATCACCGATTGCCTGCAAAAAGCAATTTCCCTAACACAGATTTCAAAGTTGAATTCCATTCGATCTCACCAAACGGTGTTTATTCAATCACCGCGTGGTGAGTGGTGGTGTTCTCCAGTAAACAACGAAAGACTCCCCGCAAGCAGATGGCTATCAAGGCTGGCCTCAACCGCTGATCGGATTCAGTTCCAATCACCGCGTGTGGTGGTTTCCAGTCGTGCAGCAGTGCTTTCGGTGCATGGCGTTGAACATTGTTCTCCAGTACACAACGAAAGGCTGGCTGCAAGCAGCGAGCTGCAGCCCACATGAACATCCATAGAAGGAGGAACAAGCCGCACCTCTATTGATCGGAATCAGTAGCTTTTCGTGAGTCGCTGTGGGCCATCTATGTCAAGCTCGTCATACTAAAAAGTATAAACAGATAACCCCGCCTAGGGTGTTTCATTCTGGAAAAAGATTGATATTTTTGATAGGCCACCCCCTAGTTCAGTTCATAACACAAAAACAAACATCTGTGCAAAGAATCAGCTAAATTGGTCAACGTTAAGAGATAGCGCCAACGATTTCAATTTTTTTTGGGATATATCCTAGTTATTTTGAGTAACCCCTGTACCTACTTCTACACAAAACACAAGCTCCAGCTGCTGTTTACAAATAAGATTCATTATTTATATAAGACCACGTAGTCCTACGTCACAATTGCGTACACAGCAAAAAAAAAATGTAATATCGATCAATGTAATTCAAGCTGATGTATGAAATAATGATGTACACTGGAGTCGCTTTTTACGCGGGTGATACGTCCCGCGTAAAAAAAAACCGCGTAAAAAAAAACCGCGTAAATTCCGGAATCCGCGTAAAAAAAAACCGCGTAAATTCCGAAATCCGCGTAAAAAAAAACCGAGTAAAAAAAAAACCGTGGAAGAAAAAACCGCGTAAAAAGCGATATACCGCGTAAATTCTGAAATCCGCGTAAAAAAAAACCAAAATCCGCGTAAAAAAAAACCGCGTAAATTCCGGAATCCGCGTAAAAAAAAACCGCGTAAATTCCGAAATCCGCGTAAAAAAAAACCGCGTAAAAAAAAACCGTGTAAAAAAAAACCGCGTAAAAAGCGACTCCAGTGTAATAGCAAAAAGCAGATACAATATTACATCAATGGATGTAATTTTGTTCGCAAAATCGATGTACATCGTACAACGTTATATTACACAACCGATGGATTGACCTGGTTGCAGCAGTTTGGATGTAATATTCAACAACTTTTTTTTCTGTGTATAACCAACAATCAATACGAAACTAACGATTTTAAATTGGCTCACCACTTTAGTAGCCTATTGGTCCCAAGCAAACGATTAACGTACCCTATTCTAGTTGAAATTCTAATACTACACTATGTTTGTTTTGATTCGCTATGAAAGTTTGACAGATAACATCAGGGGTGTGTGGATTCATGCAGAACATGCAGGGGTGAGTGAAATAGCTTGGGACTGCTTGGGACCGTTGTTCTGGTACTGAGTGAGCCAAAAATAATGATTTTCTTCAGGACCCAGTGGTCTTAGAGTTACCTCTATGGTATAACCCCATAGGGCTGTCCCTTGTAGTTTTTTTTAATTTTATTAACGATTTTTCTTTGTGTGTAAGAATATCTATCAATCATCCTCTCAGAGCAATATAGAAAAGGGATAGAAGGCAACGAACAACAAGTTTGGGATTCCCCTAGTAATTCACTTACAAACTTCAAATGGTTTGTGCCCAGTCAATTTCTTGCCAAAAAAGTTTAAATTTTGGAAGGCTAATAAGGACCCGATTTGGAACCGCTAAGCACTAGGGAGCAAAAACTTCAAATTTTGTATCAGTCTAATGTGTATCAGTACCCAAACATTATAGACTCCATGGTCCAAGTTTAATATATGATGATACATTTAGTTTGGGCATCCGTTGTCACCTCTCTGTGCTTGCTATCACCTTGAGCTAACAATCACTCTCAACAGAAACTTTTTTTTGTCTAATTCATAACAAGCACGTATGGACGTATGACTCTATTACGTTTGTTTAAAATTCACTCACGAAGGTGTTCACTTATCGCTGCTGAAAATATAATGCACACTCCTCTCTTCTCTTCATAATATTCACATGACTCTCGTCGCCACTCGGAGAGGGATTTCAGTCCAAACCAAGAGCCATAACGCAGAAACTGTCTGTGTCTCATTGAGTGGTTCGTTTCGTATCCATTCTCGAGTTCACAGAGATGACAGACGCAATCAGAGAGTCAATCAGAAACGTTCACTTTTTCTTACAAGATTAAAATATAATTTAAAACCTAGAAATAGTTCTTACTTAAGTAAACGCTCATAATAACCTTGCACAATAATAGCCAATCAAATTTAATTTTAGATGTAATATTGGGACTACGCGCAATTTTTTCCCATTCTCAGTACGGCAGGTGAGCTGTGGCTGCTGCTACGCACTAGTAAAAAATTGCAATTGGAATCTGTTGATCATCAACGCAGTGCAAAGGTGGCTGGAAAGCTGAGGATTTCGTAATATTAGAAAAGAAGTATTCGTTCGTTCCATACTGTTGTTGGAGTGTAATGCTAGATTAGAAATAAGTAGAACAAATTGTGCACAAAAAGTGTAATTCTCAGTGTGGGTGTAATTAATAGCGTACAAAGCGAAGAAAAAGAAGAAAGAAAAATAAGAACGATAAAGCAGCAGACGAAAGGAGCAACAGAAAAGTGTCTAATTGCACTAAGTGAGAGTTGACGATAGAGAGAAATAAGTGAGAGATTTGCAATAAAACCAGTCGAAAATTCAAAACAACAACAAAATAGACGAGTGTGTGAGTGCCACAAGGTGAGGAGATAGAAACGGACGATAGAAAACAAAAACAACGCTTGCTCTCTCTGTTTCTCTTCTGCTTCTTCAAACAAAGGCAAATTTAGCATTGGCGAAGTGCTGTGTGTTCATTTCTAACGGGTTGATAGTATTTGTTATAGTCTGAGGAAAAATGGCCCCCATCGCGCCGAAATGAAGCACAGATTTTCCTTGATGTTTCTTATTAAAAAAAAATCGACAACATAATAACAATACCTTGAAATATGATTTAGTTAAAAATTTCATTGCACACATGCAAGATGTGTACAGCAATTTTAAAACCTCCTGAATTTTCTTTAATTTTTTGGTAATTTAAGGCTGTGAACCATTTGGTGGATTTTTTTAACTTTTGGTTAACATTTGACAGATGGAAAGTTATCGATTAACCCTGCTATCCGAGCGTGGTTATTTCTAGCATTTTTTACGACAAACACGACAAAAAACGGTTCGGTTTCCAAGTTACTAACGAAAGGGAAAGTCGATGAAGAGAATCGATCAATGTTACTTAGAACCTAATGCATTGCTCACCTTGAATTGTGATCACGAGCACGATTTAAAATAGAAGGGAATAAAATCGCGTGAAAACAGAATTGTGTGTACTTTATTATTTTTACTATTATTAGATGATGGAATTAAACACCTTGTTTGTGCATCAATCTAAATTTAAAATATTTGATCTCACAACTGATAACACCCCAAGTAACCAAAAGTTCCGCATTCAACACTTCCAAGCTCCATAAAGTTCAAATAAAGTTCCGACAGAACATTCAAGTTCCATAAAGTTCGAATAAAGTTCCATAAAGTTCAAATAAAGTTCCCACAGAACTTTCAAGTTCCATAAAGTTCTAATAAAGTTCCGACAGAACTTTCATGTTCCATAAAGTTCAAATAAAGTTCCGACAGAACTTTCAAGCCACATGAAGCAATCCGCACAAATCTTTTTTTGTAACAAAATTTAATGTACGCAAATATGAAATAATCAGTGGCCCGAATAAGTCATAATTCTTATATTTATGCAACATTCTATATAAAAAAAAATTAAGATGTAATTTCCTGGATTCGAACCCGTGTATGTGGCATGTGATCTACGATTGCTAACCACTGCGCCACAAGTGTGATGGAATTCCATGTGGGCAAACACCAATTTAAATTCATCAAGGTGTTGTGTTTCGTATTCAAGTCAGTCAGCTGGCTCAGAAAACTCCAACAATAGGCGGGACAACAGCTCAATTTAATATATTTCAAATGACGTAGTGGTTCATGCTGAGACTCTCACGCAGAAGGACTGGGTTTAATTCTTCAAACAGCTCCATTACTACTACTAATGCTGATAAATCAATACACATTAATACCAACAATCAATACGAAACTAACGATTTTAAATTGGCTCACCACTTTAGTAGCCTATTGGTCCCAAGCAAACGATTAACGTACCCTATTCTAGTTGAAATTCTATTACTACACTATGTTTGTTTTGATTCGCTATGAAAGTTTGACAGATAACATCAGGGGTGTGTGGATTCATGCAGAACATGCAGGGGTGAGTGAAATAGCTTGGGACTGCTTGGGACCGTTGTTCTGGTACTGAGTGAGCCAAAAATAATAATGATTTTCTTCGGGACCCAGTGGTCTTAGAGTTACCTCTATGTTAATACCTGCCTTTAGAAATAACTTTCATAAAAGTGCGAACTACATATATAGAATTGGTGTAGAGGACAAAAACCTTTTTTAATTTATTTTCTAAAAGTTCCGTTCAAGTTCCGCCAGAGGCTCCTTAGAATGCTCTTCAATTATGGTGCCGGAACTTTCAAGTTCTTATAACGACTTAAAAATGAGGCTGCTTAGAATTCTATAGACCACCTTCAACCAAGGTGCTTAAGCTATAAATAGCCTTTTATCAGAACTTTTGGTTACTTGGGACTGATCAACTTTATTCAATATTGCGGTTATCTGATCTAAGTGACAATGACTCAACAGCACCGACGTGAAACTTGAACTTAACTTTTCATCGAAGATCAATAGCGACGGGTTCAAATGTGCAGCGAACCGATCTGTCAAATCTACCGTGGACCCTCGGTATTAGGAATAGAGTAAAGCTAAATGGAACGATGCGCAACGAAACGCAGAATCAAAAAAAAATAGCAAATAAGGTTATCAAAAACTTGTTTTCAGCAAAACAGATTTAAACTTGAAAAAATTTCAAGCAGTTTCCCATTGGCTTGCAAAATAAAATCAATCGATACCGCAGTACCCAGTGCAGTATATAGTCACTAAATTTATAGTCTGAAGTCTCTCGCAAAAAAAGACGTAAGAATTCCATAAGAAACACTTATGAATTTTAGCCACACGAAATCGCTATGAATTTCATTAATTTGCCTTATGAAAAATAATATTGAAAAAAAAAATTAATAAATCGGCGCTGACAGGAACCAAACCCTGGACGATGAGATTACGGAGCCCGTGTATATTGACCACTCGAAATGGTTAAAGGCGTATATGAGCTACCTCATATAACCCGAAAATCATTCATAACTCACGCTTATGGAATTTACATGTGTTGTTCATAAGTCGAGCCTTATGCAATTCTTAAGTCTGTTTGCCTCAGTGTAGTATGCGCCGATTAAACGTCAAAAATCTCTATATCAGTAAAGGGCCACCCACATTAGATCCGTTTGCGTTGCGTTGACGTTAATTCGACAGTTAGACAATAGATTTAGCTGTCACTTTGCCGCAATGCGTCCGATTCGGATCTAATGTGCGTGGGCCTTAACCTTGAATACACATATTGTTATGTTTGATATGTCAGAAGGGTATAACTCGAAACGTAAACAATGACTTTGAACGTCGATTTCTCTTGAATGACCACACACACACACACACACACACGGAATATGACTACACCAGCTAGTAGAACAAACATTTCTCTGTCAGATGATTTAGTTACTTTGAGTTGGTGTATTGTCATTCGTAAGCAACCGACGATCCAAGTCATTGTTTACGTTTCGAGTTAGACCCTTCTGACATGTTTCCCCTGATATTGTACCATTGTACAGTGGTCCAGAATGAGAATATACCAACACAAAAGTCCTAGTACTTTGCATTCATGTTTTAGACGGTTGGGGGATAAGTTTTTTTTGGGTATGTTGATTATTTTGGTATATTGGAGAGTATTTACTTATAAACTTGTTTCTCTTCCGATGCGTCTAAAAACGAACGAGTAAGTCTGACAGCTATCTGAAACTCATGACTGTTAATCCCGGAAGATTCTGCGCCGTCCCAGAAGGGCACGTGCCTAACTTTAATAAAAGAAAAATACCATAAACGAACGATAACCGAAATGATGGAACTATCCCACAAATGGTTTGGGTGATACCCCAAACCCGTCGTTAAGCAAAATAAACATAACAATTTTACTATGGAAGCCCCTAGCTGCAGGTCTAACCCTGTCGGCAGCCACTGTGGTGGGCACCAAAGGCTTCTTTATTGCCGGGTCCCAGGGCTTTATTTAACGGCGTTGGGGAGGTTTTCGGATGTAGGTGTCCTAAACTATGGATTTACCTTGATTTAATTTATTAAGCGATCCGATCTGGTCTGGCTAGATCGGACGGCGGCATGCAACAGCCGAATGGTAGAGGCTGGATGACGGCGGCCAGATGGTAGCGGCCGGATGGAGGCAGCCGGATTGCGATGGCCGTACTCACTCGCTCTTAGTTTGCTCAGATCTCTCTTTCCGCCGCTCATTAATTTTGAGTTCAGTGTTTCATTCAAATCGGAAACACTCATGTCATATCGGTTTGAGTTTTGGGCTGGAAATGCTCTATCCAGCATTTCCGGAGCAAATTGTGATTAGGGCGAAACTAGCAAAATGTAAACAAATGGAGAAAAATCGAGCAAGCTTGCACATATTGATTTAATTTTCAATTGAATGCTAAGCAATATTTTTTCTATTGGAATTACATTTATGATTGTAAAATTGATCCACTTTATTTGTGTTGAGTGTAAAATCTCCTTTTTATTAATTTTCTCTTAAAAACTCATCGTTTTTCGGAGTTGGTTGGAAATGCTAACATGAAGCTTGTGATAATTTATTAGCTAGAGAATGATCTTTAGAAGAGGGTAGGTGGATAGTTTCGTTAGAGTACGGCAGTATGAAAATTGAATAGAAGTTGAAAATGAGCGAAGGGCCATTAATGCGACAGTTTTTAAAGATAGACGCACATCTTTTGCCTAACCCGTACGATGTACGCGGAGACTTGAAGCAACAATCAATACGAAACTAACGATTTTAAATTGGCACACTACTTGACTAGCCTATTGGTCCCAATCTGGTCTTAGAGTTACCTCTATGCTTGAAGTATGTCTCCAAGTCTACAGGCAAAAAATGTGCGTCCCTCTTTTGCTCATAAACTGACTGCGACTGTGGAATAGTTCCCTCTAATCAAAAAATAAAAAGCCAAACTTACTACTTTAATTATTAAGGGCCATCAACATTATTGCATCATCGTACATGGAATTGTTACAACATGTTTGCAATGAGTTGCAAAACCATGAAAATTGAGACATTTTTCAAATACTATTGGCTGAAAAAACACTTCAAATTTTTAAATATATCGTGTCTGGATTTTTTTTTATTTGGAAATTTTGTTTATGAAGAGCTTTGAGTGGGTTGGTTTATTTCCTTTAAATTCCGTTATAATTGCTTATATTTTGACAGATACGCGTATTTCGTCTACTACTTGCAGACTTCATCAGTGCCAAGTACTCAACACCACAACACTGCAAGTAGTAGACGAAATACGCGTATCTGTCAAAAGATAAGCAATTATAACGGAATTTAAAGGAAATAAACCAACCCACTCAAAGCACTTCATAAAGGGATTCCGTTAAGAGGTTCGACAAATTTAAAGGATTAATTTTGTTTAGATTTTGGCTATAATGATATATTTTTTAAATCCATGATTTATAAAAATAAAAATTTCAATACGGAATTTTGAGAAATCGAAAACTGTTCAGGATTGAAAACAATAAATTGAGCTTTGAAAAATAAGCAAGGCTTTTGAATTAGACCATCAGGACATTGATTTATATTTGTGAGATTTTTGAGGATAATTCATTGGATTTTTAAGGAACATTTTTTTTAAAAGTACCTGTGAATATTGAGTTACCTTAGCAATATGAATTACTTTCGAATTCTGACTTGCTATTTGATAGTTAGAATTCGGAAGAGAAATCATAGGAAATTCTTAAAATGAAAACTTAAGGAGAATGCTGATACGAATCGTGAGAATAATTTCAATTAAATTCTGTCCAATGTTTTATAGATAATCATTTTTATCAAATTTTAAGAAATTTAAACGGAATTATGCGAAAAAAAACATGTGGAAATTTCTAGGAGACTTGCAAGGCCCATTTGGCAAAGTACTTGGGAAATACTGAAGAGGATTCCAAAACAATTCTTACCTTACCTACAAAACAGTTCAAATGGAATTATCGGATAGGTCTGCGAATAGTGTGACGGTCAGTCTGAAGAGTGTACCAAGGAAATTATTAAGAATATTCTAAGGGAATTTCATAGAGAAAAATGGAGACAAAATTTTGCCAATTCTTGGAAATTATTACCAGTTTGAGGCAATTGTGAAATCTGAGAGTGATTTATAAGAAATTTCAAGAGATACTGCTAAGAACTCTTAGAATGTTACTGTAAAGTTTGGTTATTATCAAGATTATATTAGGTGAATCCCGAAAAGAAATATGATGGAATTCAAAGATGAACTCTGAAAAAAAGGACGAAGATATCCTATGAAGAGTTCCATGTTAACTCAGGCTAACAAAAAATTTCATGATCTGAGACACAGAAAAATATAAATTTCAGAATTTAGAATCATTTCAAGATCCTGAGGCTTCAAAAATGACGGTTTCAGACTTTCATTTTTATTATTTAATAAAATTATTCTTTAGCATAACATTATTTGAAATTTTATTTGTGGAGTTACCCGTAAACTGCATATTAATACCACGATGTTAGGCTTTGACTCCCACTTCAGCCAGGTGAATTATACATTAAATAAAAATTGCCTACTGCTCTGCTAAATTGTAAGTCTGATCAATCTCTGGGTAATATTAGAATTATTTAGAACTAATAAAATCCAACATAAAATCTTTAATCCATATTCTGGTACTGCATCAAATAGTAAGGACTAAATCGACTATTAGCTAAAAAAAAACATCATATCATCAAAGTTGCTGGATTCTGTGCTTCTCATTATTTTTTTTTTTTATAAGTTACAGTTTAAAAAACAATTGTAAAAATATTTTCTGCAGTATTTTACCAACAATTTAACTCAATTTTAGAAATGCTGTGTAATGGATATTTAAAATTTTACATTCTGTGCATACTGGGCATACTGTGTCAATACTTTTCTTAACTTTTGGATGATTTTAGAAATGCTAACAACTTATCTGCTTTATATAATTTATTTAAACATATAATTCTTAAACATTCTGGTACTTTGAATTCCAGATGATCATACTGACCAGTTTTACGGGAGATTAGCACTTTACTTTGATTTCAATATAGCATTATGTTAAAACTGGATTTTTTTTTTCGAGCATTCCAGATTTTTCCAGATTTTATATTTAACCGGATTTGTCTGAAAATGACCTGGCAACGCTGGTCCCCGGATGGGTTAAGTACTGATAGTGTTATCAAGGTCAATGCTATCAATTAGAACCGGACTAATACAGAAGGATATTGAAATTTCCATGGAAATTTTACAGAATTTAGAGCTAAGAGTTTTCATTCATAGAAAATCTGTACTACATCGTACCGTAGTCGCTGTTTGTGTTGTTTTCGTTTCCTAAAGTATTCATTAATCAATCAGTTTAAGCTAGTTTGCGTGTGAACTATAGGATTCATTGAGTGCACAGCGCTGAGAAAACTTCACTAATACGAATCGAGGGTACGAATCGATGATTACCTCCCTTTTTTTGGCAACATAAAAAAAATCAAAATGAGAGCGTACATAAACAGACTTAAACCAAGCTGCACTCAGAAAAGGGAAAGAGAGTCCGAGAGAGTGTGTGCCTGGAAGAGTTACTGTTCGGAGTAGAGGGAGTAGAGAGAATGAAAAACAGCAGAGAGCAAGCAGAATCAGAAAGAGTACACACTGCTGCTGGTCTGTCAGAGGCTTTTGTCCCACAGAGCAGCAAAGGAGTTTTCGTTCATAGCTCTTGTCTTTTGTGTCCAGTCCAGATATCCAATAGGAAAAAAATAGAATTTCTAAGGCTACTACTGTGAAGGCACTTCCGTGGGCGTCTTGGACCAAGGAAATAGGAAGCCATCTCATATTTACGGTGCAGCGCGGGAGGATACCAGGAGTACAGATTTTTGCGAGGATTCGAGAGTGTGTTCTGGGATTCGAGAAGGTGTATTTGCGAGCCAAGGGAGGTGCCCTTGACGGAAAGAAAAGTGGATTAGCGGAGAAAATCGGAGCGCCATTGTTGTTTTTCTGGCTTTTCTGGAAAGTTAGTGTACGTTGAAAGTTTTTCCAGTGGATAAAAGTGCCTGAGAATTGTTTTAAAAGTGCTAACCCGCGAACGTCTGAACGCCAGGAGGAGCGACCAACTTTTCTTCTCGAGGAAAAAAAACAGCCCGTACAAAAACGATGACGCAGTTTTTGTTTTGATCAATTTCATCTTTTTCGCTGCTTTTTTCTTCAAAACAACAGAGAAAAAATATGAATATTGAGTTCGCAGTAACAGTGAGTATCAGTTTTGACATTTTTTCCTACCTATTTTTAGCTTCATTTCGATACTTTAACGCGAATCAAGAATTTGCACAAAAATGGCCTCACGCGAAAAGGGGGAGTGAAAATTCCACTTCAATACAGGGAGGAAACCGTTCCCAAAAGTTTTATTTTCACCCATTGGAAGAAGATTGGCTTCTAGAGAAAGACGGTCTGACCCGAGCTGGGCAGGCGGCTGGTTGGCCTGGAGGGACAACTGGGCGGAAAACCTGCCTAAATTCTCGCTCCTACTGGGCCTACACTACTTATCGTCTCTTTGTCCTTCAGTTCAATCTGTTTTATTTTTTTCCAAGTCGTTTTTCTGCTTGTCACCAACACCATGGAACAGGAAGCGTGTGTTTGCGTGCAATCGAGGGAAAATTTACCACCACACTTAACCGCCGCCACCAGAGATCGGTTTGGTGATCTATGTCTGTATTGGGTATTAGATTGTAAGCAAAACATTGACTAAACTGTTTTTTTTTGTTGGCCCCCCGTCGTCCCGTTCCGCCGTCATCGTCGTCTCCCACACCACTTCGGCCCACGGGTGGGCATAGGTTGGGGCACGTGCCTTCTTGTGGGTGAACGATCTCTTAAATCCATCAGTTTTGGGCATCCTAATAATAGAAATTTGATATGAAATAAAGCGATAGCTCGACAAATCGAAAAGTAATCATCAATGGATTAAAAAGTTATCATTCTCTCAAAAGAAACTGTGATTATGTGGGAATAATTTGTTTATTCATATCCAATGCTCACAAATATGCATGCTTACGTCTTTGATTCTTATGTCTGTGTTAGGGAATTGTGTTGGCCACTGACACTGGTTCCATCCAACTGGATGTGTACTACTTTTCATTCATCAGTTTTGGTAGGATTACTGATGGAGCCCACACATGGTTAAATCTGGTTGGTGGTTTGATTTGCAATTCAATGTTTGACCGACCATTCCAAAGTGTGTGCAAACATTCTCACATTCTTTAAAATCTTCTTGTGAAGGTTTTACGTAAAAATATTGATTTTGAAAAAACTCGCATGTACGCTACATTCCGTTGTAAGTACTTTATTCTTTATTAGGATGAGAAAAGTCCATACAAGTGGGCGCAAAATCTTAAAATTTCAGTAGCAACACATAACATTGAATACTACAGATACATTTACAAGTTCCAAACATAAAAAAGCAAATATTTATAATAACAGAATCAAACTTAATCTAAATGCAGCACATTGTATGTACATACTGTCCTTACATCTCTCGTATAGTATCCACACATTTGATGCATATGCCATTTGTTTTTGATCCTGGTCTAGCCTGATTATTCATATCAAGTCTGACGTCGAGTTTCACTTAGTAACTTCAATCTACCTGTTCAGCATCAAAACGTAAAAAATAAAAAAAATATTGCTTCCAATATATACAAATCAGTAAAACTAATAGACACTGATCGTTTGAAACTAATTTGAATGTAAACATGACCCTATATAAAGTTTTCAAAGTTGTTGAGAACAGCAGCAGGTTTCGCGACGCCACTGCTTAGTAATAGCTAATAATAATTCAACTATTGCATGGACCGAGAATCTTCAAGTGATATTGATCCCTATAGTGAGAAACCCATACACGCCATTGTGCGTAGCCTCCACTATTATATAGATAGAGCTGGTTGGAAACTGCTGTTCGATGCACGCGCAGTTCAATATATGTGGACAAGTGCAGCGCAACGCAGTGTGGAGGGAAGTGCGGGTGCGAGTGGTGGAACTGCGAGCCGCAGCACTCAGTCACGGTAGTTACAGTTGCTCACTGTTGTGTGAGTATACTGCAGCAACAACAACAGCAGTCGAAGAAAAACCAGCTGAAATTTCAGTTCGTTTGTCCGTACCGAGCAAGACTAGGCGCAAAACAAAGAAATGTAAACATGACACGATGATGACGAAGTAACGGGGCTCGAGCTGCTAGCTCTAATATAGTTGGGTATTAGAAGAGTCTGTTGTTGCTTTGGATGTGACCAAAACAAAACCGTGCACTGCCTGCAGTGGGTGCGGACTGTGGTGTAGCTGCGAACGGCCACATTACCAACACAATGCGTACAATGGATATCCTCGAAGTGCTGCATGCAAGTTCACCGCTCAGTTCAGGGATAGTTCAGGAAAGTTGGTCGCATGGACACTACTGATAGTGGTGAAGGGAAGGGTAAAGTCCGACAGAGGGCTTGCGATAATTGGGAAAGACGATAGAGAATTTGTTATTGGAAGGTGACACTATTCGGGTACATTGTAGACATTTCTGGTGGAAAATAGTTTCTAGAATTATAATTTTAATGTATACACGATCTTACTTTTCTGATCAATTAATCAATACTTGCTTCACAAGGGTATGTTAGAGATATATGTGATTTATACTGCAGCTGAATATGACGTTGGTTGAATGAAGATTAATACAACTACATGTGATGAGGTTCCGTGGAGCTAAACAGGCTAGATCATCCGAACCGTCCTTGAGATAATATCTTGAAGTTTTACTGGCTCAACGAAGTCTTGTACCGAGATGTTTTTAAAACAGGTGGGCAGGAACTCACGGTCTCCCAGTGTTGGTGAGTTCTTTGCCGTTAATGATTCACGAAAAGTTCACTATTTTCCCATACAGAAATTCAAAACAAAAAATTTTATCTGCGGATTTCGACAGTTTTTGACCTGTTTCATACGACCTTAAGATGTATGCTGGTCACAAATGCCGTGCCAAACTGATTTCCTACGCAATTAATCAATCTTTGATGTGAATTTCGCTAATAAACACGAGGAGCATTTCTTATAGCAAAACTTGCCAGAGGTACATTTTAGTAAACAAATTAACACTTCTTCCGACTGCGACCTCTCTTACTCGCCTAGGTCTTGTACGTTGTTCCAACTGGCTGTATAAATTCGTAGAGCTTCGTTAAACCTCATCATAGGATGCTTACTCTCATTAACGGCAGATATTAAGTTTTCCAAATTTACCTGAAGCTAAGATGTTGAAGTTTTGCAGGCTTTACGAGGCATTGTACGATGTTCCGATTCAGTCGGAATATCGTACAATACCTCGTGAAGCCTGCAGAACTTCAGCATCGTAGCTTCAGGTCAATTTGGATAACTAAACATATTCCGTTATTACAACTAAGCATCCTATGATAAAGTTTCACATCTTACCTCCAGGGCGGTTCGGATGATCTACGATTTTTTTTTAGTTAATACAACTATGTGTCCTAGGGGGCGACCCCGACGTAGTGGTTAGCATCCATACCTCTCACGCCAAAGTCACGAGTTCAAATCTCACCCCCGGACAAGTCACGAATGACCCAAGAGCGTTGAAGTGACTATAAAAAAAAAGAAAAAAAAACTATGTGTCTTAAATTATGTACGGTCTCGTACAAGATTTTGGTGAGCCTGTAGAACTCCAAGGTGTGTTGTTGTTGTTGCTTTATTAAAGTGACTTTCAGCCCCTCCAAGGTTTGCCCTGTAGGCACCTTGGAGGTTGTAAAACGTATTACAATACGGTAATACATTTTATGTCTCACATGATGTGATGAGGTCCAACGAAGCTCTGTAACACAAGACTTTGTTGAACCTGTAGAACTTCGAAATCTAAACTCCAGGATAGTTTGGAGAAATTGAAATAATTGTTCATTACAATTATGTATCCCGCATGGAGCTCCACGAAACATGGGATCAAAGATTCAGTCGAGTTATGGTAGAATACTTCGTCAAGTCTGAATTGGCACTTTGGATAACCTAACATATTTCGCTAATACAATTTATGTCCCACATGATGTGATGAGGTCCCACAAATCTCTACGGATTCGCATAATAAATTAGGACATTGTACAGCATGTAGAATAAATTGTTGAGTTTGTTGATTTTCGAGATATAAACTTGATAATAATTTGTAAAAACTGAAATACTCTGTCATTGCAACAGGTACCTTGTTTAGACTTTCAAAACATGATTTATATTATAAAAATATCAACATCGAAACTCTAGGATTATACTATGTATCCCGCCTTCACGAAGCTCAAAAATTCAGTCCAGTCATCTTTGAGTCTGTAGAATTTCAAGATCGGATCTCAGAGATGATTTGGAAAATCAAACATAAAAAAAAAAAAAAAGATATTTTGTTAACCCAATTATATAGTGTAGTCTGATTTTGGCAGTGGCCTATATTCTACTTATACTCTTCCCTTGAAAAACTCAAACCCGATTTAATATTTGTCTTAGACTTTCCAATTAATGAAGAAGTTTTGGATGCAATTATTTTAATCTTCGGAAATCTAAACAGTCGGACCCTTACGGTATATGATGCGATGAGGCTCAACAAAGTGCTAACTGCTAACAAGGGTTCCAAAATTCAGTCTGGAAATCGATCAAGATTTCTAGGCCTTTAGATGTTCAGAATATAGACTCCAGTTCGATTTGGAAATCATAAGATATCCTATGAATACAACTAAGCATCATATGATGCTATTATGGGGTTTCTCGTAGCTCTTCAGATGTATACAGCTAGTCAAAATATGGTACAACATACTTCGTTGACTCTTTAAAATTTAAAGATCTTTTCGCCATACAGTGGGGCAGTGAACCCGGTAGCGTGGCCAAAACCTCTAGCGCCATGGGTATGCATTCTTCAGATATGCAGTCTTCGACAAACTTTCTCAGTTTATTTAGGGACAACTTTGGATGTTTTCTGATTAGTTCGTATTCCTGCCGCATAGGTCAAGGATCTTTTAAACAGAGGGTCCTAGAAAGATAATTTTGTCGGAGAACTTCGGGATTAGGGCGTAATTGCTTTTGTAAACAAACACGTCAATAACCGATTTCTCGCTAATTAAAGATCAATCTCGAAATTTTGCAGGCACAACTAGGTAGAGGAATGACTCTTCTATCATTTGGTATAGTTTGTTTGCGAGATTGAGCTTTTATTCGCGAGCAATCGGCGATTGACGTGTTTG